GCATGGGCCGCTGGCACTCGCCCGGATCGTCGTCCTCCTCGATGGGCAGCGATCGATTTGAGATGGATGCTGTTGCTGCTCTGCACTAGCGATGCCGACGCCACCGCCGCTGCCGCGTACTGCCACCAGTTCAACGATCTACTCGTTTTCGGTTCAAGCGCAGCCCCGCGAGAGGAGCTCGTCCGCTCTGTTGCTCATCTGACCGTGTCGTTCCAGCTGTCTCCGGACTCTGCCGGTGCTCCCCGGTACATCCTGAGTCTCCGTCCGCCAGTCCCCTGGTGCTCCATCCCGGAAGTGCAGTTCTCCCTCCCACCATTGTTCGGTGCCGCGCATACCACCCTCCAGTTTTAACCACGTGCTCCAGCCTCCCTCATTTGCCTCCGGAGGAGTGCCTGCTGTGCCCATCTCTCTTGCCTCACGCCCTCTCCTCGCTTCGCATATTTTCTCACAATTTTCTGCCACGAAAGTGGGGGGGAGGGGGGATCAGCGAGAATGCTGCGGTTGCCCCTGCGGCCACTGGGTCATCAGGCTTTGAGTAACTCATGCACATGTGCTTTGTCCACGCGTGAAGGAATAAAGCCAAATTCTCCAGATGCTTACCTTTTTCCATTTCATTAGCCAGTTCCTTGAACGAATTGCTTCATCTCTGGTGGCTCGAGCTGCATCACTGGAAAGATTCATTCCCGAAGTCAGTTACCAGGATGTACTGTTGTGTGGGGTGCAGTGTGTTTGTCTGTGTGTATATCTATATTTGTGTGGATCAATGTGCATGTGTTTGTATTTGTATGTGTGCGTATATGTGTTCATTTTTGCAGTGCTGACACTTGTGTGTGAGTACTGCTGGAGTGCTGGGATTGTTGTCTGAACGGCGACGAGGACGCATCCCATAGTTCTCGGATTTTTACAGCTGCCCAGGACGAGCAGCAGTAGTAACGGTGGCGACGGCCATGGCAGCAGCAACATTCACTACTCCGCCTGTCACTAACATCATCGATACATTCATTCGAAAGCTGAAGCCATTTGTCTTGTAGTGCAACTGAAACTACACACGCCTATGAGGTACGTGTGGTATTTTACGGTAACGGCACCAGCTCGTCTTCATAACATTGAAGTAGCACCTACAGTGACTAGTTCTTCTTCCATTACTTTTTAGATGCATAAAATTTTGGTAAGCTACAGCAGCCGGCCCAGTACAGATATCGCTAGAAATTTACATAAATAGCAACGCGCACCAGACTAGCCGGTGCGATCATGCGTCTTGTGCAATTCAGCCCATCGAA